CCAGTCTAACATATTAGTAGAATTCAAGTTGGATGGTTGAAGTGGAGGAATACATCAGGCTTATTGTGTGATAGAAAAGTTTCCCTCAAACATAAGGGAAAATTCTATAAGATGTAGTGAGACCTGCAATACTTTATGGTGCAGAATGTTGGCCATTAAAAGAGAAGCATAATATTAAGTTAAGTATTGCAAAGATAAGGATGCTCAGGTGGATGAGTGACATTGCTCTTAGAGATAGGATACGAAATGAACATATACATGAAAGGGTTGGAGTAGCTCCAATGGGAGATAAGATTAGAGATACTTGCCTTAGATGGTTTGGTCACATAAAACGGCGACCTTTTGATGACCCAGTTAGGAAAATAGATGTATTAGATTTGACTTATGTTAAGAAAGGTAGAGGTAGAGCTAAAAAGACTTAGTTAGAAAATATTAGAAATGACATTTTTTTATTAGATTTAAATGAGAATTTAACTTTTAAGAGGGCACAATGGAGTAAAAAGATTTATATAGCTGAACCCATATAGCGGGATAAAGGCTTGATGTTTTTGCTGTTGTTATTGCAGTTTATTATAAATGTTAAAAAATTATGCCTATGATGCCAGCTCCCATAGGAACGGGGTTTATTGTCTAGTATTTTAAAAGGTCTGTTAGGTCTAATTCATTACTGAATGGTTTCAACTCAGCCTGGTAGATTTCCATTCAGCATCTATGGAATTCAAAATCTTTACCATAAAGTGAATTGTTGCAGGGTTTCATTTTCACTGTGCTATTGTTATTTCCTTCCAGCTATTATATGTATTTTCAGCTATTTTCCTTGTGTTACAATCGCTATCCTACTATTGCTTTTCCATTATGTTATCTTGTCCTATCGATGCTGTTGCTCGTTATATGGTAGCTTGCCTAGCATTCTGGGTTCTATAACCGCCTTCAAATTTCCTCTATATATGTTGTGGTTATCATATTCTATTGCTCATTGTTTACTGTGTTATTGTTACCTCATATGTCTCTCAACTTCAGATTCAACCCCGTTTTTTGTCAGCATGTTGCCCTATATTTACAGTAATTTGTTTCCTATTATTTTAGTGGAATTTATGGAAGAGTTTAGAATTCCTGTTGGATATGTTGAAACATGTTTTTGAGTTGGTTCTTGCAAATTTTGCATAATTTCTTATTTTGTCTCTTTTGAAACTTATAAATAAGTTGTTCAAATATGTAAAAATCATTTAGCAATGAATGATGAAATACAATTATACTTTTCTCCTCTTTTGTGCATGTGCTTGTTGGATGTGTGTTTCTCGAGTCCTACATAGGTGAAGATGACTACTTCTGGGAAGCGATTGCTTATACTAACATGAGTCTTGGTACTTTAGTTTTGGGGTGATTTTTTTTTTGTCTTTTAAATTATTCACCCGTTGCTTTTGTGTGTTAATTGAGATTTTATAGCTAAGGTACGTGGTACGTGTTGGATTTTCTTTTTAAAGCTTGAACTTGATTTATTGCTATAGAGTGATTGGCTTCAAAAGTCTTATAAACTATTTGACTGAATTCTTATCCACAAATATTCTCCGCTAAAAAAATTCTCCAAACATCTTTGGGTTGTGATAAACTTGATTTTAGGTCTTTTAAATGTATTTTTATTGGGTATTCCTTTACTTAAAAAAAGGTGCAATTGTTATCAACATATTGCCAATAAATTTATTACTTTAGAAGATGTTATCTTTGATGAGAAACAAAAAGTTTCAATCAAATTCATCTTTAGGGAGGGAACTCTTAATTAAAAAATAAATATGATAAAATCTCTTTGTTTTATCATGACATTCTTATAATATAAAATCTAACATTCTTATAATATAAACTTTAAATAATCCAGAATTGTACCCCTTCAAATTTATGCAAGAATGAAGAAGCTTTAGCCAAAATCTCTAACAAGTTTAAAATTCAGAATTTTTATCAGGTAATAAGATCAACCTATCATTACATGTTTTCTTTTATATCCCATCTCCTAGACACATCTTTTCAAAAAGTTTGTCCTGCCCATTAAATTTTTTTTTTTATAAATATCAGGTTTAAATTTCATTATAAATTCAAAAATACTATTTGAGTCAATTGAAAAAACTAATTAGAAGGATGCCATGAGAGAATAGATGAATGTTTTGAAAAAAAATCACACTTGGGAGATTATTGAGATGCCAAATGGGAATAAAATGGTAGGATGCAAATGAATTTTATATCTAACCTATAGAGTAGAAGGAAGCCTAGAGCGATATAAAGTGATCTTGGAAGCTAAAGGATATGCTCGATCTTATAGAATTGACTGCCAAGAAAAAAATGTTCTTGTTGCGAAAATGAATACAACACACATCTTAATTTCTCTTGCAGCTAATCGTGGATGGTTCATGTGATAATATGATGTAAAGGATGTTTTCCTACTCGAGGATGTTGAAGAAGTCTATGTGGATTCATCACATTGATTTGATAGTTCTTTTATAAAATGAAAGCGTGCAAGTTATAAAAATGATCTAGATGGATTTTAATAATCTCTGATAACATGATTTGACAGATTCATAAAAGCTATAAATGAAGTAGGATACAAACAAAGCCAAGGAGATTATACGCTCTTCATAAAATATTCCACTGATAATAAAATCTCAATTCTCATAGTTTATGTTAACGATACAATCATCATCGGTACTGATAATAGAAAAAGTAGTATCTTAGGAAAAAAAACTTGTTAAAGAATTTGAGATTAAAAAGTTGAGTTAATTCAAATACTAATTTGGAATCGAAGTTCAATCGGAATAAGGAATATTTATCTAAAAAAAATCTAGCATGGATCAAATATTCCACTAATGGTAAAATCTCAATTCTTATTATATATATTTAACAATACAATTATCATAGGCGTTGATAATAGAGAAAAGTAGTATCATATGAAAAAGCTTGCTAAAGAATTTTAGATTAAAGAATTGAGTTAACTCAAATACTCATTTAGAATAGAAGTTCAATCAGAATAAGGAATATTGTTATGAAAAAAAAAAAAAAAACATGTATCAACTGAATAAAAAATGACTGATTGTAAATCTTGTAAAACCCCAAATTGTACCAATTCAAAAATTAAATGTAGATGAAGAAAGAAAGAAGTAGACATGAGACAATGTCAAATATTAGTTGAGAAAAGTGGTCTATTTCGCACCCTTCCATTTTGCAGTTAGTCTCATCAGTTAATTTATGCACAAATTCAAAGAGTCTTATCTTTAAGTTGCTTATAGTATCCTCATATATCTGAAATCAAGTTATGATAAAAGGACTCTCTATAAAAAGCATGCTACTTCATAAATTGAAGGGTATACTGATGCAAACTAGTAGGATCACTGGTGGATAAGACATCTGCAATTGGATACGCTATATTTTTGGGAGAAAATGTCATAACATGGAGTACCAAGAAACAATCCATTGTTTCAAGATTTAGCTTTGAATCTAATTTAGAGTCGCCTAAGGCATATGTGAGCTTATGTGGATTAAAATGATTTTGAAAGATTTAAAAATTAAAAAAGGAAGAGCTAATAAAGATATATTGTGACAATAAATTTGTAATTAGTGTTACTCATTATACAATGCAATATGATTATATCGATCATGTGGAGATGGATAGAAGAGAAACTAGAATATCTGTTTATTTTGCAAGTCATATGTACCAATAGGAAATCAGTTTGCAAACATTCTCACCAAATTACTCTATAACCTCATGTTCAAAAATATAATAAGTAAACTTAGAATTATAGATTTTTACCATTCAATTGTAGGGTAGTGGTGAATGATCATGGGACCCACCCACAAGTCAACCAATCTTGATAATAATCTCGAGGACACAAATTAAGTATTATAACCATTGGATCAATTTTCTTATAGTCTATAGATTGTTATTTGTGTCTTCTCTTCCTCTTCTAGGTACCAACCCTCTTGAGGGTTTTTTTTTTCAATTAGCTTTAATTTATTTTCATTTTAAGACTTTTGCAAAATCATAACCATTGGATCAATTTTCTTAGGATCCATAGATTGTTATTTGTCTTCTCTTCCTCTTCTGCTGTTGTCCCCTTTTGAGGGCGGTTTTTTTCAAATAGCTTTGATTTATTTTCATTATAAGACTTTTGCATATATTACGAGAATTGTTTAATTATGGAGCACATTCGGTATGTGTATTTAATCACTGGATTTGATCCTTTTTCTAAGTTATTGGAGATCATAAACTTGGTACACATGGGGTTTCAATTCTTAATTTTGTTCAACTAATGAAGGACCGTGTTTTTTCAGACGGCTTTGTTTTGTAGGCTGCACTTTATATTTCACCTCATCAGATCATCCGAACATCCTATGCTAGGTTATATAGATTCTACTATCAGGGTTGCATGGCATAAAACACTTATTGTTCTTTGCTTCGACTACTGAGAAATTTTTCTTAGAGAATCACTATTTTGAGTGTGCATCTTCTCTATTATGATTTCATCGGGAATGTACTGTTTATGATGCAGCACCTATTTCTATGTGAGATTATAGATGATTTCATTTCATTTAACATAGTATCAACACTTAACATAATATCATCACTATTGTTCTAAGTGAAGCCTACTCTGTACTGAAGTGCAGAATCATCTGGGTCTGCATTACTTGCTATTCAATTATTGTGCTTAATGAGAAAATCTCTCATGCCCTACATTTCTTGTTCGACTTATTCTGTTGTGCCTGCATGTCACAAGTGCCTCAATGCAGCATATATTCTTTTCAGAATATCTGCTCTCGACAACTCTTGTATCAATATCTCTTTTGAGAAGTTACAGGGAAAAGTAGATTCTTTGACCACTAAGTCGAGAGAGCTTACACAAAAAATTTTAAGTCTTCTAATATGTTTATAATAATATATTGACCATAATCTTCGTTGCGTTGCAAAATTTTATACAAAAAGTTGAGCTTTTCGTTTGCATCCTTTGCCTTTTCTATAGGTAGGTCTCCTGATCGTGCCTCAGCAGGATCTGGCCCTAAAAGGTCTAGCATATCATCTGGTGGTCGGCACCATGGTTCATCATCCACTTACCGGAAAGACTTCCTCCGGAAATTTGTTGATAGTGAAAGCTTAACTGTAAGTCTCGATGATTGGTTCTCAGGAATACGCGAGGAGTCAAATTTTAGGAAACCAGCATTTGATGTTCCATTTGAGCTAACGGAGCTTCAGAGTTTCGATTATGCATTGGAAGGTGTTCCTTTCCAACAACTGATACGAATGCCAAATGCTCTTCAGGCATCAACTTCTGATGCTGTTGAAGCAACTGCGCATCTTGCCATTGAAGACTTTTTGCATGCAGGTCTCAAGGGCTTATGGGAGACCTTCTGGGATCAAGATTTGCCTTTGCCTTTTTCTGTTGCATGTATTCATAGTACAGGTTCTAAATTCTACCCTGCTGAGAAAGCTATTGCCAGTGGGAAGCTTGATGGTCTTTGTGCCGCAGCTATACTGTTAAAAAATGATGGGAATTCAAACGGGAGATGGGATCAGATTGTTGAATTAGCTTTGTTAAGACCTGACATTGGGACTCTTTCAATACATGCAGATCAGGATCAGCCTCACTCTGTATTAGGCGAGGCACTATTCTTTGCTATCCGAGTTCTTGTTTCACGAAGCCTTAGCAAATCATCTGCTGCACTTCGCAACTCAAATTGTGTTTTTGTGCTTTTAGTTGATTCTCAATATGCTGGAGTCGTGAAACTTCAAGGTGATATAAATAGGTTGGACTTCCATGCGTATAATGTGTATGAGTGCTCTGCTGAATGGATTAGAAAACATGCCAAAATCAGCGTTTCTACCATTGATAGAGTGTGGAACAAGCTTGGGAATGCCAATTGGGGTGACGTTGGAACTCTACAAGTCCTACTTGCAACTTTCCACTCCATGATTCTGTTTTGTGGTGTCCCAAAGTATTCACCTGAACAATTAGCCACAGAACATAGTTCCCGTCTGCAAACACGAAGAACTGAAAGACATTTAGTAAATACACAGGTTAATGGAAATGGTATGTTTCGCTTCCAGCAGCGCAGCACATCCCCTGAAATCGTTGAAGTCCAGGAAGACTCTATCAAAACTGTACCTGAAGAAACATTGAACCTTGAAAAGGGTTCTGTTATATATTTGGAGGACTCAAACTGGCAAAAGGCTTTTCAGATTAATGGAAGATTGTCAGATACTGAAGTTTCAATATACGGTGCAACTCTCATGGATGAACAATCTAAGGTGCTGATCTTGTATGTGGGTTCATCTCCAACACATATGGATTTAAATCTGTGGTACCAGGTTCAAAGGCAGACCAAGATATTGAGTTTGATGAAGCAGAGAGGTTTGTCAAACAAGCACGTTCCTCAAGCTGTTGCTTCTGGGAGAATTGTTCACCCTGGTCAATGCAACAGACCAAGTACTGGGGAAAATTGCAGTCATCCATGGTGTGGAACCCCAATGCTGGCAACATCTCCATATGGTGAAACAGTTTCTTACATGGTAAGAAATGGATTATTTGGCCCAGATGAAGCTCTCAGATGCTGCCATGACTGCCTATCTGCCATTGCAGCTGCATCATCAGTCGGAATTAGACATGGTGATATTTGCCCAGAAAGCATTATTTATGTAATCTCTAATGTAAAACGTCCTTTCTTTGTTCTTATTGGTTGGGGACATGCTGTCTTGGAAGAGAAAGACCGACCATCAATGAATCTATACTTCTCCTCTACCTATGCTCTTCAAGAAGGGAAACTTTGTGCCGCTTCTGATGCTGAGAGTTTGATCTACTTGCTTTACTTCTCTTGCGGTGGAGTTTTTCCTAATCTCGATTCAGTTGAAGGCGCACTCGAGTGGCGAGAAATGTCATGGTCGAGACGTGTCATACAACAGAAACTTGGGGAGATCTCAGCTGTGCTAAAAGCCTTTGCTGATTATGTGGACAGCTTGTGTGGGACACCTTATCATATGGACTATGACATTTGGCTGAGAAGGTTGAGAAGGGCAATCAATGAAGAAGATCATGGAAAGGACATTGATTCATCAAATTAAGATTCCTGATGGCTTTTATCAATGCAAATTCAGGTTTTTTTGTCAGATTGTGATTTCCTTAGAGCCTTTTTTTTTTTCTTTCTTTCTTTTTTTGAGTTTATCCTCATTCTTGATTGATATTTAAGATCGGAACCTGTTACTAGTTGCTGTATTCTGGGCCAAGTTTTATTATGATTGCAAGAGTATCCGTGCCTTGGAAATTTTCAGATATCAACTTCACTGAGATCGTAAAGTTTCAGCCATTATTTCCACTTGATTTCAACAGTAGGTTCTAGTTAATAAACAGTGTTCAAATTGACTGTAGTTGTCTTCCAGGATTGGAAAAAATGGATGTCCACATGTCATCTTAAGATCCAGAAAGCTTCTCTTCTGTCTTGGTGGTCACATTTGGGTTTCATTTATGCACCTTCAAATGGTAACTTGCAGTATCTATTTCTTCTTCTTCTTGTTACTGTGGTAGATAGATTCTGGGTGTGTAAAGGATTATGGCTCATTTTGTTTGTTCTTTTAATTCCACAATTAGTTGCTGGGGTACAGAGGATGTCAACTGTTCTTATTAGCATTTTTGTAATTATAAATTTAGTATTTTTTTTTTTAATCATAACTTGGTGATCTTTTTCTATAAATGCTTATTGGGTTTGGTAATTTTCTAGTATGTCGACATCACTGATTTTTTACGATATTCTTATATTTTATCTGATTTTTAATGAACTAGAAGGCCATTAATTGTATGATGCTTTCTTCTTATGTTGCTGCTCATGATGTTTTGAGCTGGGGGCAATGTATTCAACCATGCATTGTGCTTTGAGATTGTGAAATAGGTTGATAAACTGCCCCATGTCCTGTTTTCAGGGGAAATTATTCAGTGCAGTCACCGGATCGTCCGGAGATGAAGCAAAATGAGTCACGTTGCTCGATACACAGCACCAATATACATAAAAAAGTGATGTAGTGCGTCCTAATTCGTCTCCGGACAACGTCCAATGACCGCACAGAATAATTTTCCTATTTTGAGGTTTTTTTCATATGTTATGTTGAAGTAAAATATTCAGCTTTTATTATTATTTTTAATTATGTGCACACAATCAAATTGGTGAAGAGAAATTTGATCCTTAACCCACAATTAGAAAAGCAAAAGATAATAATAAATTAAAATTTTTAAATTGAAAATAGAAGATTATATAATCTTGCCCAAATAAAATAATTTTTTAATAATACTCTCTCATGAATATAAAGATGTACATACTAAAAGATTATAAAGACGTTAATATAATGCAAGTGAGTTAAAGTTTAGAGTTTTAAGTGCAACCAAATTGTTTGTTTTAGAAAAAAATAGGTGAACATCTTTAAGGTGCGTTTGGATGATGTGAATTTCAGTGAACGGAGAAGACAACGAATAATAAAATAAGTAGACTCAATTCATTTGTTTTAATTCATAATCAACCCTAAACATTTATATAATTTAGATTTCATATGAGATAATTTTCTTATTGATTTTAAAATATTTTTTTTACTGTAAAAAATATTAATTCAAAAAAAATTTGTATAAAAAATTATTTTAAAAATCAATCAAAAACTGTTCAAAACAAAACCTTAATTTCCTTCTTCTTTCATTCAATCCAAAATAAAATCTATAGTTGTGATTAATTATTACCTTAAATTTAAATTATATATTTAATTTCTTACGTTATTATTAGAAATTAAAAGCTTTGTTTGGAACAACTTTCTTATTACTTTTATGATAAGAAAAATAATTAGCAAAAAAATAATTTGTAATTGAAAGATAAATTTTTCACAACTTTTCAAACTTTTGCCTTACATAAACTATTTTTAATTTTTTTTTGAAACTGTGATTGAAAAATGAGCTTTAAAAAACAAAAATAAAAAAGCTTAAGCTACCTCAAACAAAATCTAAAATTAATTATTTTTCAAAAATAAATTTAATAATTTATGAAAAATTTGCAAATTGTACAAAGTATTAAATCAGCCACCAAATAGTGTACATTTATATACAAAACAAAGCTATAAGTTATCCACAAATGTTGAAACAATGCATAATTGTAGTAAAATCACCCACCCTTTATATTTATTTTCTAAATCAACGCAATAAATCTGATTGCTTATAACTACAAGCCAAATGTGATTACTGACTATAAAAAGGCAATTGAACTGAGAATGAACTGCACACTATTGTAGCACACAAGACCTTTTAGTTTGGACTTTGCACCATTTTCACATCCTTGAACAGCAAAATTGATGGTCCAGAGATGCCTCTACACAATTTTGATTAATTGAGAAAGGTATTCTGCAGGGGGGTAAAAATCCAAAAGATAGATATCTTGGTCAGTAATCATCTTTCATCTCTTAAAGTACTGTAATAGAGATGGTATGAATGAAATTGATGAGCCAGTAAATGAGAAACAATAGTTTAGTTTCTTTGTCAAAATAATGAGAAGCCTTTGTTCTAGAATAGATAATCAAATTCGCATTATAAAAATGCTTATTTAGTTGCAAAATCTAGGATAACAAAGCCTTTGTTGCAGTTTAGGATTAAGCTAAGGAAGAGAATTGAGAGATTGTGTCCAAAGATTCTCTATAATTGATTAGTGTTTATAGAGGATCCTAATGAGCCCTTAGAGCATAGGAAGTGTTGGGATTTCTAAAGGAGAAAGAAGAAGAAGCTTGAGCTTCTTGGAAGAGAGAGAGAGAGAGAGAGAGGGAAGAATGGGAGAGTGCAAATCAGAAGAAAAAGAAATTTTATTCACTTAACTTGCTCTACCAACGCCTGTTACAACCTCTCTATATATAGAGTTTTATTAGAATAAAATGAAAATAGAAATCAACTATCCTAAAATTAGACAAATTCCTAGCAATCTTCACTTTGGTCCATATTTTATAATACATTTGAATCAATCAATCCATCTCCCAAATCTGCCGCCATTGTTAAGTTAGCGTCTTCTTTAAGCCCAGCTCTTTACCGTTTCAACAAATCTGAGCAATTTCTTTTGAAGTGTCCCTCTTTATGAGAATAGAAGCACTTTTTGCTGATCTCTGATCTTTCTCTTCAAGATATTACCAATATTTTTTTCTTTATCCTCAATTCTTTGCTAAAGTTACTTGGACATCAAACCTGATTTTACCTCGGTCATAGTCAATATTTGCTTACCATATAGTAATGTATCTACTATATTTTCATATGATTTCGACAAAGAGCTTAGGAGAATAATGTCTTGATCTTCCTCAATCTTGACATCTACATTCTTAAAATCAAGAATAATTTGTTAAATTCATCCATGTGCTTTTTCAATTCTTTGCTTTCTTTCATCTACAATGTGTATAAATATTTCTTTAGATACAACAAGTTGGCCAACAAGCTCTTCAAATACAATGATTCCAACTTCTCCCAAACTTCTATAGCCGAACCCTCTTCGGCTACTTCCCTCAACACTTCGACACTGAGCAATAAAAGAATTATACTATGAGCCTTCAATTGGCTTTGCCTAGTCCTTGCCCTGTCGGTTATGGCAACAAGATCTTCCCTGCAAATCTCCTCAGATGTTCCTTGATGAACAAGAAGAGCCTTCATTTTGATTTTTCATAAACTGAAATCATTTTCACCAATAAATTTGTTGATTTAGAATATTTGCGTCGACATGATCCTGAACTGTAACATCTTATACTCCACCTCAAAGATCTAAACAGATCTCTAATCAAGAATTTCTGCAGTGTTCTTGCAACCGTCAGCACCCGAGCTGCGCCTCGTCCTTTTGCAGTCCTAATTCGACCGCAAGAATCGTACTTAAGCCTCATGACCGCAACCATACGAACGAACTCGCGATCTGAACCAGTGCCCGTCGGCTTCGCCCCTTCTCCTACGACTCCAGCAATCGCACCCTGCGCCCTACTCACATGACACCGTCTAGACCAAACACCTTCCCCGGGCCTAAACTCCTGCTCGCTTTCACGCGTGTAACAACCTTCTTGAGATCCCAGACCCACGCATTCTCGCTTCATATGCCTGTGCCAGACCCTAAAACCACACAACCAAACCTCCCTTGTTGTGTCTGATCTCCAACTTTCGAACCCGGTCCTGCTTGCCGCTTTGACCTGCACAGCACCAGGCTCCCGTGATCACTCCCGCGGCTCCCCCTGCTGCCTTTCCTACCTTCCAAGCCCGCGGCACCGACCTCCGAGCTTAGCCTTCTACGCGCAATCTACCGCCTACCTCCAACGCATGTCCGCCCCTCACACGTGGACAACCCGCCTCCTCTCTTCCTTTCTTTCGACGATAATCTTCACCTCCACCTAGTTCCGATACCAGTTTGTTGGGATTTCTTGAGGAGAAGGAGAAGCTTGAGTTGTGTGCGTGTGTGTGTGTGTGTGTGTGTGTGTGTGTGTGAGAGAGAGAGAGAGAGAGAGAGAGAGAGAGAGGGAAGAATGGGAGAGTGCAAATCAGAAGAAAAAGAAATTTTATTAACTTGGCTTGCTCTACAAAAGCCTATAGTAACATCTCTACATATAGTCTTATTAGGATAAAATGAACTTAAGAATTAACTATTCTAAAACTGGACCAATAGCTAACAGGAAGAAGGCAAAATCAAGCTGAGAGAGAGAGAGAGAGAGAGAGAGAGAGAGAGAGAGAGCACGAATCAGGGATCTTGATTGGGCTGGTGGCTGAGGAGGTGGTTTGATATAAGAGCTGACATATTTTCCTCTATCTGCGACGAGCATAGCTAGTGGAAGAATCACACTCAGATATGGAGAGGAAATTAAAGGGAAAGAAAATAAGATTAGTGAGATAAATGCGAGAAAACTATTTAGATGAGAAAATATTTATATCTCGTATGTCTCTAAACTAGTGAATCATTTTCTCCCCATGCAACTTTGGCTATGGGTGGATCTTACCAAATCGCATGTAGTGGTTTTTAATATATTATTTTTTTTCAATTCTTGTTCTCCATTTCTCTCGAGCATGCACTTTTCCCCCCACAATTAAAAATGTGTAGGATAGGGTTAGAAGTTGAACGTCTACATGTTGAATGTGTTGCATATGTTTTGAGCATGACTTGGTGAACTTACGAAGGGTTCATGCTTTGTGAATATAAATTAAAATTTTCACACCAGAAGCTGAATTTACCTAGGATGAAAATGATCACAAGCTTTGTTAGTTTGGTCGACTTCAAAAGGTTTAACTCCAAAATCTTCGTTGATATGGTACTACGGCTTGTTGGAGTCCCTAGACTCCTAGACTTTATGCAAGAGAGGCGTCACATCCTACTTAAGCTGCTTTGTAATTTAATAAGGAATTTACATGTAGTTAAGTTTTATAATTAATTAATTTACTTGCTCATCTAGTTAAAGTTTTGTGCACCAGAATAGGCTATCAAATATTATAAAAGATAACAGGATTACAATCAAACTTGTAAGCTAGTTACCTCATGTTGGTGCGTATTTACATCTTGATTATCAGGAACAACTGTTGCAATTGAGCAAATCCCCTCAATAGCCGTGGCATCTATAACAGTTTCATTTTCAATCTTGCCATCCCTGCAATCCACAAAGGTCTCATCTTTACCTGCACAGCTGTGTTGATCTCCTTTAGATCCTTGACAATCATTCTCCTGAATATTAGCTAAAGGATCTTGAGTCTTGTCCTGAAGTTTATCAAAGTTTTTTTGGTATTCATTGATGAAGTTGTAATCCAAGTTGTGTGCTGTGGTAGGATTGGGCATCTTGTCACCCATTTCAGTATCGAACTTCTCACTTGTGCTAATGACATCGATCCCCAAATGTGGAGCATATGATATACTTCCAAATGGTTCATCAAGCACCCATGCTCTAAAATTGATCATTGAAGGTGCAATTCTTGAGAAGAAGACTTCCTTGATGTTTCCTAATAAGCCCTTGTCAAATGGATTGTTGTTCTTATCGAAGCGATAACGGAAATTCTCGTAAGTTGTCTACAGGAAGGAAAATAACTATTAAGACAAACAATGATCACATTAAACAAATGATATTCATTCAGGTTTAAGTAAAATGCAACATAGATGAAGTTTTCTACTAATGTTGATGGCTTTCTTTCATTGCATGTTTATAGAACATTGTGAGGAACTACCTGATTTGTGTAGATTAGATATAGATGGAAGACAGTCAGCCCACCTACAAACCAGACTGCTAGAAAAGTATATAACATCAGAATCACTGAAATAATCTCTCCCAAAATGAGCTTCATAGTAGAGTTGTGATAATTTTTCCTTTCCTGAAAGATATTCGCCAAGGAAAGAGTGAAGACGTATACACACAGGAAAGTCGAAGTTGATATAAATAAGAGGAAAAACCGGTAGTTCCGCTGCAATCAATTAATTCAGGTTGTTAGCTTGAAGAAAAACAAAAAATAATTGAGAAGTTCCTTTTGATGATTTCATATACATCAATTGAATTTCAGAATGGTGCAGTATCTTACCAGTCCAATGCATTGACCAACCCATGGGCAGTGATGATCAAACTTCTGAACGCAGTTGTTACAGATTGAACAATGAGAAGCGCGGGGTGGGCGAAACAGCAAGCATGTTTCACAAAATTTTAGCTTGACAGCAAAACCATTAACAATAACCTCTTTTGTTGGGGGAAATCTCATGCGTGGGGTTCTTCCATTGATCCATTCTATTGAAGGAGTATTGACATCAGATGCTTCTGATGAATCTAATAATTGAGTATTTCGTGGTATTATACCTGGGTCTCTACTTGACGTAAGGAGAAGGAAACCCAAATCCTACATCATCCAGATACAAAATGTGACATGTTAAGGTGAAATATCATCGAATTTCATTAACTAAAAAGAACATGCTATGATGTATACTACATAATGTATACCAATGGCAACAATCACTCACTGCAAGCATGGTAATGATGGTCACAACTAGAACTGGAAACCCAAGTACATGATGATGGTCATGAAACCAATCTCCTTCATGGCTCTTCTCATGATTTCGAATTTTCACAATTATTTGATAACAGAATGTTATTGTTGGACCAGCTATCATAACCATGGATAACAATAGAGAAGCCACATCAGGGCCAAATATAAGTCTTCCACCACAAAAGAACCGCTGCAAACAGCACACAGTAATCTTTGAATATAATGGAATACATTGGATGTTTGTGCAACGTAAAATCAGAGCAATGTTACATAAAGCTAACGCAGATTGACTTTTTGCAGATCAGATAGCTTATATTCTAATTTTGTGATAAAAATCTGGTCAAAAAACTATTTCGTAAGCTATCATATTAAATGTACAAAAGGATGATTTTGACACAATGACATGAAAGGAAGTTTCATGATAGAACCAATGTGAACTGTGAAAGTAATCGTGTCAACTGGTCAAGGTTTTAGCCACCCAAAGGTGCTTGATGATGATGATCCATTGTTTTCTGCATAGCAGATTGGAAGGAGTAGACAAAAGGGCGATTTTTCTGTTGAGTGACTGGGGAGAAATGAAGAAAATAAAATCAATAAATTGAACTAATGTTAACTTACATTGCTCATTGTCAATGTTATCGCTCAAAGCCTTAGTTTTGGGAGGAGTAAAAGCATAAACCAGGGATGAAATAACTCAAAGTTGTGCTATTTTGTGAATCAAATCTTTGTAATGTAGTTTGTTTAAATTTTAATTCACACTTTTTAATGACAAAAGAAATAATTCAGATAGGAAATAGGTCTTTCCATTATAAATGGAATTACACACTGCAAACGATTTCAAGTAGCATAAGTCCACTCTAACAACATGAAATTCTCTAATCCTACCAATGTGTACAATGTTTTACTCTATTTAACTCATAACAAAATAAAATTGTCTAAATATAAATATGTTGCGCGAAGTCATGCTCTTTCGATCTAATCAAAATTGATCCAATTGCACACATGACAACAAATAAAAAAACATGAACAAATTACAACCAGTTAATATTAATATCATGTTAAAATAGAAAAAAGATATTCCAGAGAGAAAATAGTTCTTTCTAATCTATAGAGTAATCACACTCTTCTTGCAAATTGGCTAAAAAACCATGCAACTATATATGCCTGAGGTGATTTGTTATTCAAAATATATAACAAAGTTTATAACTATAAACATGTGCACCTTGATCTTTTCATCTAACCAAAACTTATGAGATTGCAAACATAGCAACTTGCACAAAAAATGAACCAATTGCAACCGATTAATATCAATATCATATTGAAAGAGAAAAAGATAATCGAGGGAGAAAATAATCTTTGCCAATATTAATGGAAATTAAATTCTAAATTTTTAAGTTGAATTACAAAGCCCTATATGGAATCCGGGGTTGGGTACCCACGCTCTGCGTGGGCAAGCTTTACCCCTCCACGTCCACCCATAGTGACTTTTGAGATGCCGTACCCACTCATACCCACCCAGTTTGCACGCTTTTTGAAAGCAATCCGTCACACTTTACTTTGAGTGCAAACTTTCAAACAAAATATTAAAATTTACCGCGGTCACAGCGCAATTCAGGGTTGCGCACAACATAGTAAGGATTGCGGTAATATACGACATACGGTGATTAGCAATATAAATTGTCTCATCTCTCGATATTGAGTACCCACTCATGAGGTCATGGGCGTACCCATACCGCTACTCAATACAGGGCTCTGTTGAATTAGCCAACTATGACAATTCAAAATAGATAAAAAACTTACCTAAGGATGAATTTCTTTACAGAACTTGTAGCAAAGCAAATTTGTCATATTGTGCAGAATTATGTTTTGATCGTCAATGCCAATCGCATTACATGCATGACAACTAATACAAAAATGAACAATTATAACCAATTAATATGAAAAACGTGTTGAAATAGAAAAGATAATCTAGAGAGAAAATAGCTTTTCAAATATCAATGGAAAGTCATCATCATCATCAATAGCTTTATCCCAAATTATTAGGACCGACGACCAATATCAATGGATAGTATAAGCTCAGTCTAACACCTTGCAAATTAGCTAAAAAATCGGCCATCATTCCCCAGGATGATTTTCTCTAAATAACTCAGAACAAAGCAAAATTACCAACTAGATGCATGCTTTACAAAGTTATCAATATTTTAAAATAAGGGCTCATTTTGTAGCTTCTTGATAGAGAACAGGCTCTACAAACGATGATTTTATATCCACTCATTTAGTGTTTGAAAGTAAAATCATCATTTTGTAGAGATTTGAAAAATGATTTTAGGGTTTAAATTCAACACCGATTTCTAACCACATCCAACCAAATTAAGTATAATCCCAATTGTTTTTTTAAAATATGTTTTCCAAGTTGAAGCAACCGAATGAGCCCTAAGCAAAGCTAGTCCGATAGCACATATAACTAAAACAAAAAATGAACAAACTGCAACCAGTTTGTATCAATAGCTCATCGAAAGAGAAAAGATAAGAAGGGAACTAGGTCTTACATTGCTTCCATTCCAAACTTGATACAGCCTCCTCAGTTTGCAATTCGGCACCATCTCTTCGTTGATAAAACAAAACCAATCTTCGTCTTCAACGAGAAAAAATATTCATTCTTTCACAGTTTTCACGGCAAAGGCTTTACTGGATCAGAATCAGAGACGAGGAAAAAGAGAGAAGCGGACAGAAGTAGAAGTGCAGAGAAGAAAGAGATTGAAAGATGTTCTATCTCTCTTTCTTTCCTTCTTCCTTGCTCTCTCCTCCCACCTCTGCTTCACATCAAATCAGGCCGAGTCTTCGCATTTCTGTCGCTCGATCAAACTCCACGGCGCCGGTGCAGTGAGGGAGATAGATTTGTCTTCTTTTGGGAGTTTGACAAACACCTTGCCGATATCGAACGTAGAAACTGGCGCGAGGAGCCTTTTTGGCTTTTTTTATTGTTATTTTTTATGCGATGCTACATACAAAAACCGGAATTTACATATCTACCGCCAAGTTTTATATATTTACACATACAATATTTGATTTTTAATATTTATTTATATAACATTTAAATCTGAAATCACATCAAAATACAAATAATATTAAATTGTTTTAAATAAACGCATTTTTTCATTCATATACTTTGATATAATCTAAATATTAACGTGATACTTAAATAAATAAAAAAAGTTATATATTAGATATGTACATAAAAAATTTGGGATATGTATACAAATTTATAATAAAAAAAAAACTTATTTTGCACTGTTACAATAAAAATTCTCTACAAATAAAAGCTAGGAAGACCTTTTTCTAACCTAACCGGATATGATGGTATGTTGTCCGTCATTCGCTTCATTCGAACGCTAAATTTCACGCCAAAATTTGATATGTAAACAGTGCAACGTCAATATTGACCTCACACTATTCACCTACAACAATTTTTGTGTTACATGATTTTCCGAAGTAGCGCACGAAAGAGAAAAATGGAAGAGGAGAAAAAAATAGAGGTCGATTAGAAATGAATTACTGCATTTTGAAATTTCATTGCATTTTGAGGTGGAAAATGGATTTTTCGGTTGGGGATGCCTTACACTCTTCTAAATTTTGTTAGTTCACCAATTTATACAAAGTTCAAATAATTTTATTTAGAATTTGGAAATACTATTTTCTTTTTTCTTTTTATATTATTTTAAAATACACCTATAAAAATCACTGTTATAATTAGGAATGGGAGTTCAGCTAAAAAATCATTAGCAAATCATTACAATTTTAGATCTAATAGCTTGAATTTTTATACACTTTTTCATAGGCGTATGCATTTGAGAGCGAGTGTATATATATATATATATATATGGTTATAACGAGGGTGACATTTAATGATCAAATTCGTCAATCCGACATGAACTTAACCTAAAAATTTCGGCTTGATGAGTTCAATATAGATAGGATTTTTTGACTCATTTATTAAACTGGTTAATTTTGGATTCACAGGCAAACCTTCTTTTGACCCAAAAATGAACTGTTTAATATTTTTTTTCTTTAATTTTATATTGCTTATGGATATAATTTGCTTTTTTATTTAATATCATAAATTTATATTTAATAAGTTAATTAAAAAAAAATCAAAATAGATTAACAAGTTGGGTTCAGGTCATTTGAGCTGCTAGTGGATCATTTCACCTCATTCATGTTGCTTGCGGGTTGGGGTCAGATTGATCTTTTTGACCCATTTATTAAATGGGTCGGGTTCGAGTTAATTAGATTCAGACTATGTCAATTTCTAATTAGACTTGAACTCAACTTGACCACTTGATTTGACACCCCTACTTATAGTAAATGTTTCTCCTTAGAAGTTTATATTATTACAATCAATGACCCAATTTGTTTCATAAGAAAAGACTTAAAAAGCATAATTAAGAAATAATATTTAATTATTGAGCATATGTACAAATCATAATGAAGGCCTTTTTAATTAAAAATTTAAAACAAATATTATGGAGTAAGAAACATCAAATTATGGGCAACATTAAGTAGAAGCAATTAATTTCATAATCAAATATAGAAATTAAATAAACAAGCAAATGCACAATGTTCTAACTTAAACAAAATTTGCACTAACTAAGCTCAATTGCAAGTATTGCATTGATGACATTCAAGCTTCGTTTGGGCTGACTTTCTTACTTCTTCTTAAAGCAGCTTTCAAGTACAAAAATTAAAATTTTTATAATAAAAAGCTGCTTTAAAAAGCAATAAGAAAGTCATCCCAAACTAACCCTAAGTAAATATGCAATGAACATAATGCCTAAGTTATAAAAATATTGCACAAATATATTTTTAAGTAGTTTGATATCAAATTAGCATACATTCATACCTAAATATATCTTAAGAAGCAGGAAGAAAGTCGTCTCAAATGAAGTCTAAGGCTTCGTTTAGGATGACTTTCTTACTGTTTTTTAAAGCAGTTTTTTTATTACAAAGATATATTAAATTAAAATTTTTTATTTAAAAAATTATTTTAGAAAATAATAAAAAAACTTTTTAAGCCAAATCAAGTGATCTAAAAGCTTATCGTAAAGCTAGAAATTCTTAGCCAATTTATTTTTAGGCGAGAAGTAAACCATGCACCATTTGTAAAGTCAAATAGGTTCACATGGGATGACAATGACGCTCAGTTTGACTGTAAGCTCGCTGAAGTCGGAGTTCATATACTCCCGGATTTAATTTTTGAAGTTTCCAACTAGCTTTTGCTTCGAGATTCGTGCCCGATCAAGATAATTTTTGGAGGACGTATCAATAATTAATAAGAAATACTTTAAAAATTAACTAAATACTTTAAAAGAATAAATGTGCTCTTTTATTTAAACATAAAAACTATTTCTCATTTTAAACTTGTCGGTAAAACTGTAAATATGCCTTTACAAAATTAATACTGATGAAATTATTTATCTTCATAAAGATTTATTTCATTTCCATTTATTAAGCGTTATATTTACTTTTACAAATTTATAATATCTAAAAATGAATGAGTGGTTGTGATTTCTTTTAAATGAAATGACACACATTTGTTTAATAATAATAGTTAAAAAAAAAACTAAAAATATATATTTATTTTTATTTAGCCTCAAGCTAGATTTTGCAAGCATAGAGGTTGTTTGTGATAAATTTTTATTTTTTTATTTTAAAAGTATATTTATTTAGAGGAATTTTTATATTATTTTAGTTTTTTTTTAAATAAATCTAAGTTCCTTTTAAAAACACTCAAAACAACTTTTAAATGTTTTGAGGATTTTATAAAAATCCATTAGTGCTATTGATTGCCGCCACACCACCTTTGAAGCTTCGACTACTTTCTCTAACCATCATCGACCACCAACTATTGTTTCCACATCTAGCACACTGACAAACTCCACCGATCGTCGTCAGCCACCACCTCCAGCCTCTATCAACCACCACCTATTATTGCCACCTCTGGCCAACATTGACCAATCCTGTCGATCGTTGTCGGACACTACTTGTAGACACCATGCTCCAGCCACCATCGACCACCACCTATTATTGCCACCTTTGGCAAGCATAGACCAATCCCACCAATCGTCGTCGCCCACCACCTCTAGCCACCATCGACCACCACCTATTATTGCCACCTTTGGCCAACATTGACCAATCCTGTTGATCGTTGTCGGCCACTACCTGTAGACACCATACTCCAACCACCACCTATTATTGCCACCTTTGGCAAGCACTGACCAATCTCACCAATCGTCGTCGCCCAACACCTCTAGCCACCATCGACCACCACCTATTATTGCCACCTCTAGCCAACACGAACCAACCCCAATGATCGTTGTCAGCCACCACATCTAGACACAATCTCCAGCCACCCAACCACCACTGTTAGCCACCGCCTTTGACTACAATAGGCATTACCTCCAATCACCATTGCTGACTATCGTCGCCAACCTTTGCTAATCTCCACTATTTTCCGAATGACCTTAGACGCATCACATAAATCATTTATTCAATGCTTCATAAAAATATAAATAAAACAAAATAAAATTAAAAGTGATCCCCATAACTTTTGTGGAAAGTTTCAAATTGGTGATGTTTTTTTGGCCAAACAATAAAACATTATAAATCACAAAGACTTAGGATAGAATTGCATTTGCCATTTGGCTAAACAATTGGTTCTCACTTGCAAAGTTCATTAATAAGCAATAGATTTCAGGAGTTTCTAATGGAATCCAAACTTCTAATTTTATTTTTTAAATAAGTGTGCTCATAATTGCTGGCAATATTTTATTTATTACAAATGTTAGCGTTTCGCTGAAGCCAGGCTTGTTTGATTTGCTTCTGTGTCTTGTTTTATAAAAAATAACAGCCATATTTGATCAAATCTGTCTTTTTTTTAATTAATATATTTTAAAATTTTTTGAAGGCCTATTCCTCAGAGTTGTTTTTCTTTTTCATTTTTTTTTATGAAAATTATAAATAAGTCCAGATCTTGATGTCTTCTAGCTTCAAGTGAAAAAAAAAAGTATAAAACAAAATAAGAAAATATAAATAAATAATCAAATATGCCATCAATTATTTTATTGATTAAAAATGTTAATAAATCATTTAAAAACATTTTTTTTCTTAGAAAATTACATTCTTTCAATATTTTTATATATTCTTCATAAAAATAAATAAGTGTGGGAGTATAGTAGGAAAAGCACCTTGTTCCATTATATTGGCTCTTCACAACTATAAGTTCCTAATTTTCCTTCTCAATGAGCTATAAAGATGATACAAGCTATGAGCTATTTGGCATTGTAAAACACAAAACTCACCAGTCTAAGGATTCTATCTATAGCTAATGGAGGCATATTTTTGTACAACTAGACTATTAATCCTATGGTGTCAAATTTATTCATGGGAATTAAATGCAATAATTAAATAAACGCTTCGTCTTCATGACATAATTAAACATGAACGAAAAACAAATATGTTGTTAGGAGGCTTCATATATATTAAAGAGGGAGATTATGACATTCGAAAATGTAAATGACATTCCGAAGAGTTTGACCCATGATATTTTATAGGTCATGGAAAGAAGATGAGCTGATGACACCAATCCGCGACTTTGAAGAGCAAAATTAGTTGCCATCATAGTAGTTAATGCCCCTAAAAAAAAGAGATGGAGGGGTTTGTAGTGCCCTTGCCTTAAGTTTAATCACAAAGTTTTATCATCCTTCACTTTCCTAAATCGAACGGACTTCGTTGTGGTAGTGTCTTCACTCCTCATCATTATTATAATTTTCTTTCCTATTAAATCACATAATCTAATTTATTATAGTAACCTTAGGGCAACTCACTCCAATTTACACAATTTCAATATTTGGTCATTCTCTTTTCTTTCAAAGGAGGTAAATAAATAAAAAATATTATACCCACAAGAAAAAAAAATCAAGAAAAAAATATATTAAATTGCCCATTTTCGATCTAGGTCAAAAGTAGGTTTGTAGGTCAATATGAATCTAACTCGTTTAATGAACGGGTCAGAAAACACAACTCATTTAATAAACTAGTCAACCTGAACCTAAAATTTTTAGGTCCCGTTTAGGCGGTCGGGCCGGATCATTTACTGACACCCCTAGCTCAGAAATTAATGCATTAACTTGAACTTCTTATATTGGGTATGTATTTTTTTTTTTTCATTCTGAAAATGTTGAAATTTTAAAATTTGTGATCTTTACTATGTTCCTTCGGCTCATTTTAAAATTTAAATTTTATGTTCGTTACTTTAACGCAGAAGAAATTCCGAAACAAATTCACCAACAAAAGCAGAAGTCCATTTGTATCTGTATATATATGAGATATTAAAAGCTTATTAGTTGCAGAAAACAGAAATCACTTGCTTCTTAATTGAACTAGTAAGTTTAATTATATGGGAAAACAACTGGCAGATAGAGAGCAACAATTGCTTAATTGGTCAAATTGATTGGCATCTTCCTCCTCCTTTCCTTTTTCAATAATATAAAATTCAGATTAATTCAAAATAATTTCAAATTATGAGATGTTTTAGAAATTTTATAATTTTTTCGTATCATCTAAACCCAAAAAAGCTTAACAAACTCTGGATTTAGGTTTCATTTGGGACGACTTTTTTACTATTTCTTAAAACAACTTTCAAGTACAAAAATTTTAACTTTTGTATTGAAAAGTTATTTTCAGAAGCAGTACTAAGTAAGCGGTGACTTAATAATAGAATGATTTAATAGCCTAGAAATTAAAAAGTTTATTAATATTTCAAAATATTATTTAAATATTATTTGTATATAATATTATTCAAATATTATTTATTAAATATTAGTTAAATATTATGTTAAATATTTTTAATTTAATTTATTAAATAATTAATTAAATTTTTATTTAAAATTTATTTTACATAAATTTATTTTAATTTAAAATGTTTATGAAATTAATATAAATGCAATATTAAAAAATTTGTAACAAGATGAATATTATAATAATTATTATTTGAAAAATATATAATTTTTAATTAAATTAATATAATTATAATTTAAAAGTTAATTGATTAATCATAGTTATAATGTTTAAATTT